CTTCAGGGAGTATAGTCAAATTTCTGCTTCACTGAGCTTACAGATCTTCAGGTGAGGCTGTTACTGCTTCAGACTCTGTATTTTGCTTTGCCATGATCATTGATAACACATATGTGCTGAAAAAAAATAACAGTGATTGCAATAGTTGATTACATTATTAATTATTAATGAATTGTTCAGAAATACTGTTGTTTGACCAATCCAGTGATCTTGTCATTACCCCTTCCTTTCCCGAGACCTGGAATTGAACTCTGATTTCACTTTCTAGCTACAGCAAGTTTTCCCACTTGCAACTCCCAGCTTTGAGGTCCACCCCTGGGAGTACCACAGGAAGCAAAGGCAAGGCTTGCATCTTTTTTCCATCATTATCTTGCTGAGAAAAGGGGCAGGAAACAAAGCAGTTAACAGTCCAAACCTGTGTGAACTGTAGCTGCTTCACTTTTTACTGCTGTCACTGCACATACTGGGAATGGTGGACCTGTGAAGTCCTAGGCTCACAGAAGATGGAAGTGTAGCAGAGGTGTGACTTCTGCGCTTAGGGGGAAGAGATGGGAAGGAACGGTTCACAGTGCTGAGCAGTGACTCCTTTGGATTATTTGAGGTTTCACAGGGAGTTCTACACTCACTGAAAGGATCCCAACCATGACATTAAGGCCCCAGGGAGGAGGCAAATTATGGGGTATTTAAGACATGCTGGAAAAGTAAAACAGTGATTTTTTTAACTATTTTTTTTGAAAGAAACTTACGTTTAGATCTCTGAAGTGCTCGTTGTAGTCTAAGGCATAACCTACCACAAATAAATCTGGAATTTCAAATCCATAATCTGTATTGAGACAAATAACAAGCACCATCAATACAAGATCAGAGGCAATTATATAGCCCTTAAATTCACGTGTTGGTTCTCTGACAAGCGAACTATAGCTATATGTAGTCAGTTGAGGTTATGTTACTTTTGACTCTGAGACATCAAGGTCAGCAGTAGCCCTATAACCAGTTCCCGCTCATTGACTATTTGTGGCAGAGATGTGAATAGTCAGTGGAGAGGAGAGTCGTGTACAATTATCACTGGCACAACAGACACGTGGTGGAAGGAAGCCAAAATCAGAACTGAAAAATTCTGCCTATGCTTGGAAGCTCCATTGGTATACGTGTGTGATGACAACTGTCCAGTATCACACTAACGATGAAAAAAATGTACAATTTCAATTCAGAAGTAACTTTCAGAGATTTATATATTTTCTTCTGAGAATAGGAAAAACTATTTTGCATATTATGCTACCAAAACATGTCAAATGCTTCTTAAATTAAAGCCCCAGCCTTATGAAGACTCATGGACATGCTTAACAAAGTAAATGCACACAGTGTAGCTGAATCATACAACTCGCACACTTGAAGCTAAGCCTAGGCACGTATCTTCTTGAGTGTGAAGGTCTGTGTAGCATCAGCACTATATAAAACAAGTTCAGACTCTTTCCAAATTGTTCACTAAGTAACTAGAGAAAAACACAACCTTATGGACAAAAAAATAGGTCAGCATAAAAAATTTTACAGGTATTCTAGTAAGGAGTTTATTCAATTGTTGAAAATTGTGGGTAATAGACACTTTGGAATCATAAATTTGGGTAAGTGAGGAAATGACACAGCACTGTCATTGATTTACAAGAGAGATCTCTGATGTTTTATAAAATTCATCACAGTATGAGTAAACAAGGATAAAACCTGTTTCATTTTACAAGTTATTACATAAAAATATTAAGCTACCCTTCATGAAGTAATTTTTATTGTATTTTTTATATGTTTAACATCAGTGAATCCAGCCAAATGTATACTTTAATTTACTGGACTAAATTCTAAATGTTAAAAATACCACTGTATAAGAAGTTGTACAACAAAATGTTTGGGTTCAGATTATTGGGCTAAAACTGCAGGGCCATGCCCAACACTGAGTAACTTTTGGTTCATAAAGTTTCCCTCTCCCCCACATCCCAAATTAAGACCCTTCATGCTGCCTCCTGGTACTCACCTGCCTATTCTCCTTCTACCCTCCTCCCCAGCTCAGCTGACCAGAGCTTTCTTCAGTAGCAAATACTGGTCAATCTCTTCTAGACGGATCTATTCTTTTCAGTATTTAGCCACATACCTGTTATTACATCATTTATTCTAATAAGTCTAAATTGACAATAGCTTGGTATAGCTCCATTTACGGCTTCATCATAGCACAGTACAAGTACCAATAATTCAGAGAGAAGTGGTGCTGGTGTGACACAAACAGAGCAGCAGAGGAAAGTTTAAAAAGCCCAATTTATCTTTTGCTTTTTGGGGGGTGGGATTTAATTATAATATCATTGTTTACCCTTTAAACAATAATACTTTTCAAAAAATAATAAAAAGTGTTGTTCTGATATAAAAATGTAAAATTTGTGAATAACTAGGTCATAATAAAACACCTTTCATGTTCAGATGGAATCCTGCAGCTCCTCCAAAGAGATGCAATGAGGAAGGAAAAGGAAGGAATGGACTTTCTCTTCTATATAGTTTGTCAGAGACAGAAGATAAAACACTCCCCTTTCATGGATAAAATTAAACGCTTTCATAACTTCCCTATAAAGTTTGTACTCTGCAGAAAACATCAGACTATAAGGAGGCTAGGCTTTCCAAACCACAATTATACAAATCCTTCCATTGCAGCTCATAGCCCCATTGACAACTGATATTTTACAATGGTTCTAGCAGTCCATAGAATGATATGAAAGGCAAGTGGTAGAACAGTGGTAACTTCTTGTCCTGTCACGTACAGATTTTCACAAAAAACACTTACAATCTGGTCTGTACCCATCAGGCCGAGATGTTCTTTTCACCAACAAACTGTAATTAAAAACAAAATAAAACCCGTGTAAATCTAGATATTTACCTGAATAACATGCATAAAAACTACTCCCTTTATAAAAAAAACTTCCGAGCCATGTGAATCACTGTTCTCGTTCTGCTTCTCCTCCTGACAACGTCCTGATGGCAGGGAAGAGATGGGCGTGTTCCCCTTCAAAGTCCATCAGTGCCAGTCTTGAAATGGCTGAAGGGTCATTGCCACTGCAGAACAATACAAAAGCATTTCCTCTCCTTTCCTCCACCCTCCTCTCAGCGACTCGGGCAGCTCCTCTGCAGAGCTCCCCATGCCATACTGCAGCATCGAATTAAAGCAGGATCTCAGAATGGGAACCTCCACTGGAAAATATGTTGGGCTAGACTAATTAATTACTCAGTTTTGTGATCATTTTACTCACCTTGCCACTTTAATCATTTTTGGCTTGTATTTTTCTATATTATTAAGCAGAACGTTCATAGTCCTTCCAGTTCCAACAATATCCTTACAAAACATGAAAAACAGAGTAAGTAAAAACCAAAGGAAAGCTGAAAAAAGGAAATCTGGACAATGATTGAGCGGTTCCACCTTCTTATTTTGTGGAAATTATGTATTTTTCCCAGCCACATCCAAAAAAGGTTATCATAGAGCTCACACTCTTTGAAGCAAGCATTTTCTACTCATAAAATAATGAGTTAAAGGACTGTCTACTTCCTCTTGAAAATAGCTATGTTTCTAGTACTTGGGATATAACACAGAACTGGAGATGACTTTACCGGGCACTGCAAGGCTGCAGGGATCAGACTTTTCATATTATTACTCAAGGCTACAGTACATCAACATCTCTCCATGTCAGGGCTAAATCTGCCCTATTTGCTGTTTTATTAGTCCAGTACAAATGAGTATTCTCCGGAGCTGCTGTACCCAACCTGATCTGAATGAGATCAGTAGATACCTGGCTACAAAACTGACCGTGACATGGAGAGCAGCTGTTGATCCTGAACTCTGTGGGTGTGGATTTTTCATTAGCCACACTTTGTCTCTGCTCCCCAGCTATCTAACAGCATCAACAAAATTTGCTGCGGACGTTTTTCTCTCTAACCATCCCGGTTGCTTTTCCAACATTTTAAAAGAGAATCACCTACATTAATTAAGAGAGAATTTGCAGCACTAGTGAGGTGACACATTCTCTTCCTCTACAACTGAACACTGTTGGTTTAAATCAGCAACGTATCTGTGACGGGCCCTCCCCAGGGGACGCTGCAGGATGCAATGCTAAGGAGCAGGAGTCACCAGGACTTGAGAGAGTGACTGACATTCTCAACCAGCATGTGAACACCCTGAAGTTGTAAAGCATGTGCAGGGCTATGCTACTATTTCAAAGTCATGCAACTGAGAATTGCAGGGCATCACTGCAGGTGATTCACTGTCCTCCAAAGAACTGAACAACTTGCAGAACAGGAGTTGATGAAACCATAGAAAGAACAAATCAAATTATGCAAAAACAAAGGCTCCTGTGTATCACAAGGCACAGTACCAATCAGAGCGGCAGCAACGTAGTTTGATCTGTCATGCAATTGCAAAAAGATTGAGAGGTCATTAAGCACATCAACCCTTCTCCCTCTTCACCACCTCCCAGCTAAAGAAGTGTAAACACAGACAGGTTTTAGAAACTGAACACACAATCATGACTTGACTATGTGACTTCATCTAAGTACAATATGACATAAGCACCCAACTTACCTCCACAATTAGAACATTCTGAAAGAAACAAACAAAAAGGAATACAATTACACAATATTCACAAACTAAAAGAAACAAATGTTTGAAAAAGTGAAATGAAGATAGATAGGTCCGTGTGCATACGTACAAGACGTTAGGACAGGAGGAGTTTCCTGTTTCATTTTTGTGCCCTGAAAAAGAGCCAGCCATAAGAGCAAGCCCTGCAGTCAGGGGCTTTGACTTTATTCAGCTCTGTCTAGATTATCCTCTTTGTGCAAGAATGTATGTAGCTTTGGAAAATAAAATTAGATGGAAGAAATCCAAATGGGATGAGCTTCACTTCATTCCAGTGTATCTAGCCATGTACTACAGTGTACCCTATAGTTCACTAAAATAAATGCTCTTCCTCCCCACCCCTACCCCCCCAGAAACATCACAGTAAAGGATTACAGGCCAAGTTGCACTGGCCATTCTCATACTGTGAAGAACCTTCTTTCTCTTCAAATATGGCTGCTGAAATCAGTAGTATACTTGAAGAGGAGGGAAGTGGTCCAGTCAAGAGCAGTGATGTTAAGCCATATGACAGCACGACCACACAGACCAATCTTTTTGCTGAAATGGTTTATCACTGTTCCAGGAATCACAATATCTAAGATGACTTGTGTTCTTCTATTAAAAGCAATAATGAGAAGTAATGTCCTTATTAGAAGAAATAAAAATCTATTTATTAGTGGGCATTATCATACGCATGTTCAAAAGGATGGACTCTTACAATCTTGCATTAAGATCTACTTCCTGAGGTGAAACCTGCAATAGCAGGAGGAAAGTTATTTCACAAATACCTATATCTATCTATCTATTTATACATCTTACATGCATGTGCACATTGTATGTTCCGCAAAACCTTGAGACAGATAGTTTCATATCCATGCAGTATTCACCAGACTAGCTTACATTCCACTTCCTTTCTAGCAGGCTTGTTGGCTTTGCTACATACAGAGTGGAGACTGTATGCTACATACATACACAACATGGAGACTGTCTAAATGCCTTTTCCATCACAGCATCCCAAGGTTGAGAGTTCTGAGAAAGACTCAGACGCCATGCAGGAGGAGTGTGTGAAGGGAGTGTGCTCATAAACAGCACACCTTTGACAGTTTCATTAACTGATATGTAAATCCTTTTTTTAATCTTCAAACCAGAAATTTTTAATATAGATTAGCCATATTTATATTCACACTGCAGTTCCTCCTAAAAATCACAGTGCTTGGTAGGGAGACACAGCATGCTTCATGCATCAACCACTGCAGAAACATGTTACCACACACTGTATTATACCTGGATGCTTCTGAAATGGCAAAACACTTGGTAAAGGTGTGGAGGAAACTCCCGGTAGTAGTTCAGCAGATGTCAGCAATGGAGATATCACTCAAGAAAGCCACTAATTTAGACTGAGCTCCGGTGGAATGTGTATTAATCCTGGAGGGTGGCTCCTTTTTGGTGTTTTCATAACAGGTTTCACTGGTGGTTATCCTGCTTGGCACTCCTGACTTTCAACCTCTCAGCTGCTGACACAAACAACTCTGGATCTGAAAGACCTAGTCCTGTGGAGGTAAAAAGTCAAAGGCCTCTTAAAAACAAAAGTCCAAAGACGCCCTGCCTCTAGAGATTTCTTTCTTCAAGACAGGATGGAAGTATATCAGTCCTCTAGATAAGACAAAGAGACCAAAATCATGTTCAGGAGAAGCTTATGACAGGGGTGCAGGGACACATTTTCTTGAAGGAAGCCATTTGGATCCAAAAAGGGTTTGGCTCTCATCTGGCTTCTTGGATGAAGTCATAACAAGGAAAAACACTTCCAAAGACTAGCCCAGGACACCTGGGTCTGAGGCATAAGCAAATCACTTGATTCAGTCAGTGGACACCTGAAGATTATGTGCAGGATTAATGGTTTAACCCCAGGGAACTTGCACAGCTGGCGATACATGTAAATATTTATGTGTGTATACACACATACACACACACACATATATATATATAAATATGATATAGGGAGAGAGCAGAAAGGTTGACAAGGAAAGAACCTCACCAGCACTAAAGACAGAACCGAACTCCTTTAGTACCAGCAGACAGTCCAGGATGACTGCGAGTGGCACCTGGTAAGAGAGGCTGACCTGACATCAGCCTGACATCCTGACCCATTCTGCCAGTTTCGTGCATCTCTTGCTGCCCTTCATATCGTTGACAAGAACTTTCCTCCCAAAGAAAAAGCACAGATCTTCCAGTGACAGGACCTCTCCAGCAGCTATGGCATGAGATGGGACATAGCAAAACTGACATGGCAGAGGGCTGCAAAGTCCTGCAGCAGCAGACTGTGTCAGGGTGCAGCAAAGGCTGGTTGCTCCTTGAGTGAAGGGTGGCCATGAGCTGAGTGCAGGAACACAGCTGGCAGTGCAGGGGCCTCGCCAGCCGGGGCCCAGCCCCACAGTGCCCCAGCGAGGCAAGTGGCAGAGCTGAGACTTGTTCAACAAAGAGTGCGTACCATCAGGTGAGTTCATGGTGATGAGGCAGATCTGAGGTCAAGCTGGGTTGTCAGTCACAGGTTGGGATCAGGTCCAGTGAGAGTAACCATGATCAAACACAGCCCACTGATCTCCAGGCAGGTCCATAGCGATGAGACTGGTCTGAGGTTAAACTGGGAAGTCAGTCTGTGAGTTTGGGTCTGGATCAGCGTCTGCAGTAATGTACAGGCACGGGTGTAGCAGAGCTGAAGATCGGTACCCATACAGCACAGCTCAGGCATGGACTAAAAGGCCAGGGTTAAGCTGAACTGAGGCTCCTGTGCCCACAGGTGTGGGTAGGGGCCCCAAGTGACACAGGTCATGGCCACTAAGGCCTATTAGTGCACACAGGGCGGTGACAGATTGAGAGAAAAGCATAGTCCTGGGACATTTCATTGATAGACAAATATGTTTCTTTCCTACCACAGCTGCTTCAGCTATCCTATCATGAGCAGCAATAGGGATTCTCTTGCTTACTCACAAGTGGAAATCATAAAATGAGACAGAATGAGGGGACAAGATCCTCCCTGGCTATGGAATTGAGATTAAACCAATAGGGAGGAGCAGACCTTACTAATTAACTTGTGAGAAAAAAATCATGGACATTAATAGAAAATGGGGCTGAGGAGACCATGAAAGGTCAAGACTATTCTGTTGGCCCAAAGAATCAACTTAAAACCATCCCTCACAGATATCTGATTTAACTGTTCTTGAACATGATGAGGACTTCAGAACTTTCCCAGGCAATGTGTCTCAGTGCCTCATTATCTAAGAGCAAAAATACAGTTAGAAAATGTCTGTTGCTATTTGGCCTGAACTTGTTTTGCAGAGGACATAGGAAAAGCTTTATTTTCTTCTCTTTTTAACTTCTTCTATATTTGAAGACAGATTATTTCCTCAGTTTCCCCTTCTTCAGATTAAACAACCCCTATTTATTCAACATTTTCTCACAAGTTATATTTTCTAGCTTTCTGATCATTCCTTGTTCTCCTCTGGAACTTGTCCGTTTGGTCAGAATCCTTCTCCAGTTGCGGTGCCCCAAACCAGAAAGAAGCCTTTCCCAGTGTCAAGAAGAATAAAAGAACCACTTTGTATGCTTTACAAATAATCCTCTTTTCTATATATTCCAGTACAACAGTTACATCTTTTATAAAGGTACGCTGTTGTCTCATGGGCAACTTGTGATCCACCTATTGTCTCCAGTTCAGAACTGTTGCTTAGTCAGACCTTCCTCACTTGCATTTATGCAAAAGATTACTTCTATATAAACATAGAAGTCAGTATTCATCTTTATTGTCATTACATGTCATTCTTTGAACCAAATTCTTAAAATAATTTCTTAAGATCATAATACTTTATTGTAGTATTTTTCCAGGTAGTATCACTAGCATTAAATACTAATTCCACCTTTTAAATCATGAATTAAATATTGTATAGTCCCTGGAGAGCATGCTTTAATGCATCCAGTCTGACAGTGAAGCATAATTAACTGTTTCTTGAGAACAGCTTTCCAACCAGTTATACATCCGCCTAATAGAAATTTAATCTTGTCTACATTTCCTTATCACAAGTGACTCATATGAAGGAAAGAAGATTAACATGGATCCAGACATGCCTGAAGGGTTCATCTGACCACAAGGATGATAGTCACCTGCACATGACTTCAGCTGAAGTGTAAGACCTCATATTTACTGACTAACTTGAGAAGGAAGGATACTGGTGGACTCTGAAATTGCCTGACCAATGTTCTGTAAGAATAACCTCTTCTGTCAGAGTCAAGGAGTCCAACAGCTGCAAATGATATGCATTGGGAGATTTGGTCCTTTGAAAGACCCTTTAATCAGGCAGTTGTCTAGGTCAGGAAACACAGATTCTGTTTTGTATTATGCACATTCTCTTTATTTCCAAAACATTGATGGGCATTTTCTGTGCTATGGAGAAATCCTGTATGTAAGGACTTTGTAGTGGAAAAGCCACTATAAAACATTTAGATATGAAAACATTTTGTATATATAAATAAGCAGACATCCTGATTGTTGAGAGTGATACATTAAACCCTGTTTTGATTAGGCAGGGTTACTGTGACTAAAGTCATCATACTTAACTTTTGCTTATGACTGAAGGCATTCCAAATGGTTTGCCACCCTCTGGTACCAGAAACCATCTCCTACAAAATGACATGATGTGCTGGGAAACTGAATATATTGCTGCCTATCCCCTACCTTTCTCCTGTTGAAGCAGGCTACTGATAGAAGGGTTCCAGAAAAGAAATGGCATAGCAGAGTAGCAGAGGAACAAACTGCCAAGAAATGTTTTGATATACAGTATCCAAGACTAGATAGTGGTGATGTGTAACTAAAACTGGTTGAAATGGATTAGCTTATCCTTGAGCAGATGGATAGAAGAAGATAAAAGAAGAACATAATGGATCCAACAGATTGGTACATTACCAGTAATGTCACCATCATCCTCAATGCA